CTGGAGTTACGTGGGGCGCACCTGCAGTACAGCTGGGCACACCTGGACTTACCTGGGGAACATCTGGGGGTCACCTGGGCACACCTGGACTTACCTGGGGCACACTTGGGGTACACCTGACGCTCACCTGGAGCACACCTGGGGGTCACCTGGGCACACCTGGACTTACCTGGGGAACATCTGGGATACACTTGGGCACACCTGGACTTACCTGGGGCACACCTGGGCACACCTGGGGCACACATGGGATACACCTGAGGCTCACCTGGGGCACACGTTGCTGCACTCGAGGCTCATCTGGGGCACCTGTGGGCTTACCTGGGGCACACCTGGGCGCCCCCTTACCTGTGCCCACCTGGCCAGGGGCAGTGCCAGTGGCGGCAGCCGCCGGGGCGGGAGATTTACCGCAAGAGCAACATCTCCGTCTACGAGGTGGACGGGAAGGACCACAAGGTACGGCCCGGACGCACCTGGGGGGTACCTGGAGGGCACCTGGGACACACCTGTGCCCACCTGGGACACACCTGTGCCCCGCCCAGATCTACTGCCAGAACCTGTGCCTGCTGGCCAAGCTCTTCCTGGACCACAAGACCCTTTACTTCGACGTGGAGCCCTTCGTGTTCTACCTGCTCACCGAGGTGGATCGGCACGGCGCCCACATCGTGGGCTACTTCTCCAAGGTGGGCGCTCACCTGGGGCACCTGGGGCACCTCTGTCTGCTCCTGTCACCCTGTGTTTGCTTTTGTCCACCTGTGTCACCTCACCTGTGTCACCTGTGCCCACATCGTGGGCTACTTCTCCAAGGTGGGCGCTCACCTGGCGCCTCACCTGGGGCACCTGGGGCACCTCCATGTCACCCCCTGTCTGCTCTTGTCATCTCTTGTCTGTTGCTGTCACCTCCCCTGTGTCACCTGTGTCACCTCACCTGTGTCACCCCAAAGTCCCCAATCCCCTCAATCCCCCAAATCCCCCCCAACGTCCCCAAATGTCCCCAAATCCCCCCAAATGTCCCCAAATCCCCCCGAATCCTCTCAATGTCCCCAACACTCCCAATGTCCCCAAATCCCCCCAAATGTCTCCCAAATCTCCCCAAATGTCCCCAAATCCCCCCAATGTCCCCAACACCCCCAATGTCCCCAAATCCCCCCAAT